TGTGTATATATATATATATATATATATTAGTGGTGCTTTACATATTTTAAAATAGTAGTAGTTCAATCTTGATTGGGCGGATTTTGCTGAAAGCCTCAATGCACTTCACATTAGAATTAGAGATCAGGAGTTAAGCAAAATACCCTCTCCCTCCACCTAAAAGTTATCAACATGTACTTGTACTTTTTATGACTGAAATAATAGCCTATTGGGCCCAAATTAAAACAACCTATATTTAGAGACCATACCCCCATGGTGGGGCCTAGTTAGGTATTGATTACAGTCGAGTTAATTTAAATTCAAGTATAATTGGTACAGAATTATGTTGAAGGTTTGTACCTACCCACCCTGTCCTCTTTCTGAGATTACATTTTATATGGTTCTGATTTATTTCACTAGTCATAAAGCAAACTAAATGCTTGTCTATATATTTATGTTGTATAATGTACATGTCCGACTACACAAGCTCTTCAACGCGATTTGTGCATGTTGTTTAAAAACCCATTGGGGTGCCATCTTCGTGGTATTACTCTACAATCTGTTGCACCGTCTCATCTCTTCCTGCAAGTTTTTCTCTGCTTTTCAAAAATGCATGGGGCCCTACAATTTCCCTATCGACCTCTGGGTCGGACCCAGATTTCAAAATTTCGCTGCGCCTTAATCATTGTATTGCAAACTTTCCACATGTTACACTATTCTCACAAACGCATCAACAATCCACCAATTTTAAGATGTGAAATACATAAATAATTATTTGCCCGGGAAATAATTTTTTCTTCTTGTTTTTCCTAATATTATTTTCTTTCAAAGAGCACACTAACATAATTCACATACACTACATAATTCCAAATATTCTGAATTCTTAACAAAAATAAAGTTCTTTAGACATCAATTAAAACATGCAATATTCTTTATTCAAAGTATTTTTCAACAGCATAAAAACATTACAATTCATGACCTTTCATCAGCAGAAACAAGTGGAATCTATGTCCTATTATGTAGAAACATGGGGCTTCCCTTCTTATTCAAATACATACAATTTGATTCCATGTTCTCATTTTAATATTTAGGGGTTTAAAATTAACAAAATTGTATGAATGAGGTTGGCATGTAGGAAACCATGGTTGCCGTGGAAACCATATTTTATATACTTTAAAAATAGATGTCTTTTCTTTATCATAATATGGTTTGAAAATTACTTGTCAAGAAGCAAAAAAAATCAACCATTCACCAAAATAAGCATATTTCTAGACCAACAAGTCAAGCACTTAAAATTTGTACATCAGATCTAAAACAATTGTAAGCTATTTTGAAAACAATACAGATGCTTAAAAATCAATTGCTCATCCAAGCCTTGGTTGTTATGGTAACCAGACTTGTGAGGGGAATAATTTACTTTATTTACAAAATACACTGAAAAGCAGTTATTATCTGAGTAGGAAAATAATAAAAATGGAATTATATATGTAAATTACAATACAGCTTTTGACTAATTGAGATAGAGGGTGTGTATATTAAAACATGGCATTGGGGTGTTGCTATGGTGGTAATGAAAAATGGCATTGGGTTTCGGGTGCTGCGATGGCGGCAGTAAACACCTTGTCACCACATCTAGTACCGGCTGGAGTTATCCTTCACACTGCAAAATAAAATATATCAAACTATGATGTTAGTAAAGTGTATAATAAAATGCATCTAAGTCAAAGAGTATTTTAAATGGAAAAAATATGTGACTGTTTTGAGTGTTCAAGGATTTTGTTTGACAGGGATACGCTTGTCAAAATCAAGTTTAAATAAAGAAAAAAATGTAAATAAATAAATAAAGCAACAACAGAATAAATTGAATATGCTTACATTTTTCCATCATGTCAGTTATTAATAGTTTCTTTTGCCACCACTGTGGAATGGGTTCTGAGCACTTTGCATAGAGAGATAGAGAGAAAATGTGTTACATGTATGATCGGTGCCAAAACAAATAGGAAAGATGATGATTCTGGGAAAAGGCCTACATTATTTTGTGATGTTAAATGTTATTAGAAAATATAGACAATAATGACAAAAGATGTGTTCAGTGATCTAAATCAGCCATTTCTATAAAAAGCTTCGTCATGGGTACTGGACTGGTTACTATTATAATATGAGACATGGGTCACAGTCTGTCCGGCGTTATGACCTGCCATGAGACATGGGTCACGGCCTGCTTGGTGTCGGGACCTGCCATGACAACCAAAGATGACCTCTTCATGATGCATTATAAACGGGTTAGCATGTGCAGAAATGATGTTAGCACCTCTTACCCTAAGGCAGACTAGGATTTTATGTTTGTCTGGGGTCACAACAACAAAATCACTAGTCTTCCATAGGGTTCAAGGTAGAAATGTTAACCACGTGAATAGTCTGGATGAGAGACACTAGCAAGAGTCGAGCATAAGTAGCATGAGTGTTATAGTCTTGAGGGGTTAATAATTTGAATCAGGTGAATTTATTCTATTGTCCAAGACCACAGCAGTGCAAACCTCTTGGGGCACCCTCATTTGGCTATGACAGGGATATATTTTGGTGTTTTATTGTGATGTTAGTAATTATTCCTTTAAGTCAATGCCTGACCTACTTCAGGTCAGGCATCTATAATACTAAATTTAAATATCTTGTTGATGCATGTTGTGAATATAGCCATGAGTGGTTTATTTCAACAATGAATTCCTATAATTACTCCCAAACTTATATTTACTTAACTTATGTTAATAATACTTTAAGTTGTTTTTATTTGAATTCTAACCATTGCATCGTACTTTTGTGCAATTGTATTGTTTAACAAAGAATGGTTATATACATATTCATTCATCTTAATTTCCTCTCTTAATATCTCTACTAGACATATTTACCTGTATCTTGTTCCTTGTATCATCAAACAATACTCTATTCCTTGACTATTAACCAATGAACTCAGTTACCTATTTAGCTTCCATTCTACAATGCTAGCTTGTTCAAATTTGTTTACTAAACTCATCTTTATGAATGTGTAAAAACTAGTTTGTAACATCAGAATATTCCAATTATTTTTTTTTAATGGGAAAAAAATTATAATTTAAATGATCTATTTTCTAATTGAAAAATGCATCTTTTTATTTTTTACTAAAATATTTTTATTTTTCTAATTAAATCTAAAAATGTTCAGTCATCTAAAGTGTAAAGGCCAAATATATAAACACAGCAAACCAGACATGGTTAAGAATGGTAGTAAGATTTCATTAAGTATTCATTTGATGAGGTTAGTATTACATTCATTCAACTTAGTAATGCGTTATATTGATATCTGCCATTCTATTTAAGCCACCAGCCAAGACTAATTTATGCAGCAGCATCTATCTATTAGCAAGTCAGTTGCTGGAAACCAAACATCAGTTACAAATTGGATGCTGTCAGTTTGGTGAGCCTATGCCATGCTTCCTGAATCAAAGTCTTCAGAATCCATACAGCAGTTTCATGGATGAAATCCATGTGATAAGTTATTTGTTTTAATCAATGCTGTAGTTGAGCATGCACTTATCTATGCACCAAGTCTATGGACTTGAAACAAGCTCTGAAAGTTTAATTATTATGTACAAGATAATACATCAAATTCAAGTTGTTTAAATATTTCAATGTAATAATTTTAAAATTAATCTTAAAAATTTGGAGTAGAGCATGAATAAATATAAAAACGGCCTAATTCAACTTGAATTTTTATGCATCATCTTTACGGAGTTAGTGTCTAGGGCAGGCATGCAAGCAATGCTTACCTCTGCTGCAGCAAATATTGAGCATTCTGGATCTGCTCTGTTCGGCCAGTGATGGTAATAACACGATCTGATTGGCCAGGAAGTGCATTGTCAATCTTAATAACGGCACCACTCGTTTTTCTGATTCCTTTGATGCGTTCTCCATTTCGCCCAATGATTGACCCAGCCAACTGTAAAGCAAGCCAAAAGTTTCAATGGACAGGCTATTTAATGAGTTTGTAGACATGCTACTAATGTCAATAAAAATTAAAATAATTTTTTCAACCGTAATAACAGAGGGAATATTGGATAGGGCTGATAAAATCATTGCTTTTAAACAGGATTTACATAATTTACTATTTTAATGATATCTTTGTCAATCCTAAAGGGAACTGAAGACTTATATAATGAACCATGATGGCTTGCATAGTCATTTGTCTTATTCTCTTATGTGAAACGTATTGATGGATCCCATTGTTTCGATATATTACTTCTAAACATCAATTACAAAAAAAGTAAAACTAAATACCCTTAAATAACATTACAACAACTAAAATAAGAAAAGAATAGTTACCTCCTTAGGGATAGTAACTTGTGCAGATTCACCCTTAGCGTCATCAAAGCTTCCTCCACCACCTCCACCATAACCACCACTGTTGAATCCACCACCAAAGTCGCCACTCTGAAAAACAGAATGATGTCAAACAGAAATAAGAACATATACATTAATTGTGGAACAATTTTCACTTACTGCCTCAAAAATACAACTGACCAGCATTATTGGTAGCTCACTCAGCTTAATAAAGTTGATCATCAGTACTCCTCTCACAGACCTTCATACAATCCTTTTAAACAAGTAAGTACTTTGTGTGTTTTACTCACCATGTCAGAAGCATAGTCATAATCATCAAACTGCTGACGTCTGCCTCTCATACCACCACCACCTCCTCCACCACCACCACGTCTTGGTCCTCCAGGCCCACGTGACATAAAGCCCCTTGGTCCACCTCCCATACCGCCACCTCCACCACCTCCAAAACCACCATGCCTTCCTCCCATCGGTCGTCCACCCATATGTTGCCGTCCACCTCCTCCTCCACCACCACCGAATCGTCCACCAGAGCCACCACGGTCAAACGATGGATCGCCATAACCACCATATCCTCTTGCAGCAAAAACATTGTAAAGGTAGGGATCATATGGCTGTATAGGTCCTTTTATGGGTGTCTATAGAATGAGGTACAATTGATTGTCAAAACAATTCTCAAAACAAGGTATGATTCATAGATATGATTATTGGTTAATTAAAAACAATGCCTTCACTACAACACACAATCTTACAGGGTATACATCTTAGCACAGTCACAGCACAGTCAGTATTGTGATTGGTTACTGTCAAAGGTTAAACATCTTAGTACAACGTTGTGATTGGTTACTGTCAAAGGTAAAATATCTTAGTACAGTATTTTGATTGGTTACTATTAAGGATTAAAAAACACTAACATCTTGTAAGACTTTCTGGACTTTGTGGATAGCTGCGGAGACTTTGTCGAGTGTGCCTGCAATTTGCACAACACGTTCAGTTGAGTTGGGACACACGTCTTGGTACACTTTAATGGCTGCTCCACTTTGCTATAACAGGAAAAAAAAGCAATAAAATAAGTATATTCTTCCTGCTACAAATATCATTTCAAGATTAGTAATGAATAATTTTAAGAAAAATTATTTTAATATTAATGAGATGCAAATTTTTGAATAAATAAAAAATGAAGACTTACATCTCTAAGTTCCTTGATTTTAAATCCGGCACGACCAATCACAGCACCAGCTTGGCTCTGATGAACTAACATGCGCACTTCTACTTCCAATTCATCTTTGTTCATTTCCTTACCAGGACGTTGTTTGTACTATAACAAAATTATTTTGGTAATTTAGATAAATTATGTAAAGCTAATGTTGGTCTTAATTGCAAAGATGCTACCAAAACTGCATGTTTTCATTTTCTCTTTTTTTTCTCATTCTTCAATTTATGAATGTTCAGCTGTAGTCCAAACAAACTATTTTGAACGATCAACAACATCAAGTATGTTATATGTGTGTGTTTTTGTGAGACTAATTTCAATAATATATTCTTAACACTAGACTCAAATACATTTCAATGTGCATAGTAGTAATTTCTCTATATACTACATTACCAACCCAAATGAATGTATGATTACAAAATTATTAAAATTAAAAGAGTTTACCTCATCCCAACTTGGTATGGTATCCATAAGGCTTGCAATAGCATCATCCTGAGCAGCAGTGATTGTCAGGATTCTACAGAAAACAGCCATGTGTTACTAGCTTATAAGAATATATGGCTAGGTTTACTAGCCTACCAGCATCTCTTGCTATCATCAGTAAATCAAATTTTTATTAATCTTAATGATTTTTGCTCAATAATTAGTTGATACAATGATAGCAAGATTTACTCCCATTCCCTTAGTTTGTTTTCTTATAACAGACCCAAAATAAATGACAAGTAAAGGTAGGCAAATTAGTTAGATTTATAAGTTAATAAAGCCAGCAACATAACCCCCCTTTCACTGGTTCCTAGACTAAAATGACATTACAAATAAAACCCATTTAACATTGCAGGTAAATAATGATAAAATTAGGTAAAATTTAAAAATTAACCTAAATTATATATTTTTTCAGTGTTAATACAAGTTTGAATGGACAAACTAAAAGAGCTATTTCTATGGTTTTACTATATCTTAACACTGAAATCTGCCTAATAAGGCTTAACTAATCAATTCTACAAAGGTAAACAAACCGGGATTATTGGACATACCGCTCTGGCCCGCTGCAGTCGGGCACGTTTACTTTTCCATTGTACTGGATGTGTGGACGGTCGGGCCAACAGATCGGGACGGAGGATTCGGGCCGAAGAGTGATGAGGAGTCCCAAGCGGGGCCATAGGGACATGTGGGTAGATTCGGACATGGCAGGTAGTCATCAATCAAGATGGATCGTGGGTAATGGCACCATGGTCGATGGCGTTCAGTAACGGGAGAGTAGAAGATGGGACATAGTGAAGGAGAAACGGGCAAGGGATTAAATGAGTTAAACACATCATTCATACTTAAAATCATGTCATTAATTATCTTTCATTAAAAAACATGAAAACAAATCAAGAACAGTCAGTCAAAACTTGTTGGTGGTGTCAACAGTTATTTTGTAAAATAAACAGTATAAATACAAGTCAATTTAGAAATAGACATACTGTGACAAATGAATGCTAATAAAACTGTTTACAATTGTTTAACTAGTTGCTTTAAATATCCTTTTTACAAGCTTTATAGGCTATCAGATTTCAGACTGACTGGAATTCTCAATTGAGTTTATTGTTGAATATCAATATAGTATAAAAATAGCACTTTTTAAAAACAGTTATTATAACTTTTAAACATTTGAAAAATTAATTAAACAGTAATTATAAACAAAAATACACTTTCATTACATTTTCATTTATAAAAATTAATATGCAACATTACACATATTAAAATAAATTTAGATATCAAGAACATCAAAAAGGGAAAAAAAAAATGAATACTAACGTGTGATCTTAAGCGTTTGATATTGGAGCCACCCTTCCCGATGATTGCACCGGCATTCTAATGAAGAGTTAAAAAAAAAACTGCTAACTTGTTGATCCATATACTTGCTTATTAATATTACAGTCTCAACAACTCCACTATTTTTTATTGTATTTGTTTAACTGAAACAATACTCATTATAGGGTCATAATAAATAATAGTTAGCTGAAGTTGAATCCTGTAATCAGCTGGTTGTTACTATTCAAAATACATTACAAATTGTAACACCTCCTCTGGCCTTCCAAATAATGTATAATTAATCAAATTGTGATATTTCATTTTCATACTCTAAATCTCATTGAAATATAATAACCAAAAAATTTTCTACAAAATGCACAATACAAAATGAATTTTTAATAAACTAAGAATTAACATTTAAATCAGAAAATGATTATATTTATTTGATAATATATGTTTGATAACATACCTTACTCATGATCATGATACGTAGAGTTATCTCTGGACCATCCCCACGTGGCCTTTTGTTCATTTGTTCTGGAGACCCCATATCATCATCACGATCACGTTTGTTGCCACCTGCAAAGAAATAATCAATGGTAAATATGACTAAATTTATTAGAATAAAGCTAAGAATTTGTACACAAGAAAATGTTATACATCAACAAATAAATTCAGCCAACGTAGCACACAGCTAGAAGGGAACAATCAATGACAAGCAACCTCAATTTGATGCAAACTGTAAAATATTATAATAATTTATTCATATGAATTGCTCAAGAGCAAATAATAATTTAGAGAGACTGGCATTCAATCTGTAAGCAGTCTCCGCTTGGCTACATCACTTGTATATTCCGTACCTCTACCATGTACTCTGCATTATCATCCGTCCCTTGATAATGAAAAAATATCAAGTATTCACAGGGCAGACCACTACATTTCATACTTGAACGGCTTTGATAGATCTGGCAATGTTATATCTGCATTACACTCTTGTAATATGCATCGAGCACAGAATACAAAAAATAATCAAAAGAAATACAAATACTAAACTGGTTTTTAAATCTAAATATTTCCTAGAAGCATTATCCACATTTACTAGATGTGGAATATAATCAATGGAATATTTTTTTTGTGAAGGTCTTTAGAGATACTGGAAAATAAAATGCAGCAAGAGAAAATGGTTATTGGTTGTGTATAATTCAGCCTCTAGCAGTTACAATTGTTAACCTGTTGTACCTATCTATATAGATCAGTACAACCTCATCATTTTCAATTAAGATTTCCCCGCACTCATCTCTTCTTAATTTTAAATCAATTCTTTTATCCACGATTTAAAGGCCACCTGAAAATTTCAAGTGCTTCCTCAGTGCAATAATTGATGTTGCTTAGTACATGCTTAACATAAAATTTATCTACTCATTCTTAATTTGTCCTTTTTAAAACTCCCAATTTCCTTGCACTTTCATTGTCTTCATATTAACACACCCTTCAAAATGTTCTAACCAGGAAGCAAGATTGCCTTCAGTAACCTTGGGTGGTATCATTTTGGAGTGATTTGCCTAAAAGGTCCTCCATTCTTCAGCCATGTTAAAAGCAGCTGTACTTACTTCCTAATGACTCATTTAAGATTAATCTTTGACCATATTTTAATTTTCACTGCGGAGGGAGCACAAATTGTCTACATTAACATTACTACAAATTAATGAAAAAATATAGTACATGAAAACAGAAATGCTCAACAAGCCACTACCATCAACATAAATAACAAGAAATAGAAAATAAGACTAATAAAATGATATAAATGAAAGCTCAGGAAATAGGTCAGATACAAATAATTGAGTTGAACACCTATACGATCTAAATTGCAAATAGAAAAAAAAAACATTATGAAAAGGGAACATGAAAATTAATTTTTCATAAATTAATATATGCATATTTTACATTCACATTTTAACTAAAAAGTATTATTTCATAGAATAAAATCAATGAAAATCAACAGTATCATGCATGTGCTAAATTTTAAGTATACAAAGGTAAGGCAATGAGGAGAATGTTGCATTCTTGTTTTAAGTTCCTTGTGACTATCTGCCTGACAGCGTTACAATACTAATCTTAAAATCTATGATAGTAATAATCATTAAAAAAAAATATTAAGATGCTGTTAAACAGCACTATTAAATTGTTAAATAACAAAATGTTATCTGCATTAAACCCCTCATCTTTCATCTTTCTTTCATTCAGTTTTAATTAATGCTAAAACTGTTAAAAGATTGTTCGAAAAAGCTTCCCTTCTATCTTCTGCATCAAGTAAGAATCCAGCGTAATCAAATTAACGGTCACTTCAACAACACACTGTAATTTCATTTCAAAGTACATTTTCATTATACAAATAAGCGAGACTCCTTCAGCTCAGCAGAATTTGATGCTACAGTTGTTTATTAGCACATCTGCAATTACTTGCCACTCCCTCAACACTAATTTCTAGCATGTTTTTAAAGAAAATACTAAAATGTTCCCTTTGTAGCCATCTTAATAAATCAACATTTAGCCAAGCTACGATGAATATCATTAAGAACACGTGCCTGATGTCATGGGGAATATTCTTGTAATACGTCACCTCTTAGAAGCGTGACATCATAATGTTTTAATTTATTCAACACATACAAACAATCCATTTTTAAATCAGACTATCATAGTTCTAATTTGTACATTAATCTAGTCATTATGATTATGTCTGTACTTTGACCTTTGACATTTTTCTTGACAAAGATTCTGCTGTCAATGTGTTTCCTACACACTCAATATATCAAAGCATATTTTAGTCACCTATATTGTCGCAAATTGATTTTGTCTTAACCATGGGTGTGGCTGAAAGGTTTTGCTTATTCACAAGTACAATACATCTCTCTATATATATTATTCTTAGTTATTTTGATACAGAATATTAATTTTGATATAATTCTAAATGCTCAACCAGTTGTAAAAAATATTACCATCTTATTTTAAGTAAAAGTCAGCTCAACAATGAGTAATATGCTAAAGTTACATAAAGGTTGAACACAACTATGATCATGGATCAAGTTAATAGACTATACCTGTAATTAGGCCTACTTATCAAGGATTGTTGTTCTTTATCTTCAACACCAACATCCTCTCATTTAAGCAAGAGCGTTACACTCTCTGTTGTTTTTCTTTATTGGACCTAGCGGATGATTTAACGAGCTAAGATAATACTTGCGATCGGTAAAATATCAAGTCAGTCATTCAATATTGATTGCTATTTTGAAAATTTGAGTTTGCAAAAAAACTTCTTTAGCTTACACAACAGCTTAGATAAGCTTTGGCTTACACAACAGCTTAGATAAGATTCTGCATAAAAGAAACATTGCTCACTTCACAGGTTCAACTTCACAAATATATGAAAATGAAAAACTAATTGCTTCAAACAGTACTTGAATAGATTATTGATCTTTACTATATTTAATGAATACTACACATATTAAAAGAAGATTACTCCTACATAAACTACACTTTTAAATCTAAGCAGAACTTTTTGCACCTAGTTCAATGCATTCTTTAAATGTACAATATTAGTAAATATCTATTCTATAAATTACTTAACTTTACTATATTTGTACCAAGTTCACAAAGTTCAGTGCATTTTCTAAATGTAGAATACGGTATTTAGTAAACTAATATCCATCCTGTAAATTACATAGACTTGAAGTACTCCGGTGTCGGTATGTTTCAATATGTTATCATTAGCATGCATTGTATTTATTAGTATACATTATTATATCTGCATGTTGTATTATCAATATACAATATCATACCTTTTCCCTCTACAAGATAATAACTCACACCCATCTTCTATTTGATGTGACATATTTCATTTTATTCTATATCTTATCCATCATTTATATAACAAGGTCAGGCACAATAGATGTTTTAAAGATATTCATGAAACTTGGCATTTAATCTCCTGCACTGGGTGGCCAACCTTGAAAGCAATTAATTGACCGATTTTAAAGTTTCTTAAATAGAGTTAATTACATAATCAAGTAATGGTGTTGTAAAGTATGGTAACTTCTTTGTAATAATTGCACTGCATGCATAATCTAATCTAATACAATGTCACATTTACAAATACTAAATGTGAAGATAATATTTAAAAATAAATTTTATTGAATCCATTCCATGCAGTAACTTGCAAACTAACAATATTCATTCATAGATAAATAACATTACGCTATTCATTTATTTCCTCACAGAAAGATAAGCTTGCCTGGGGGAATTAGCATACTAGTGGAAAATTCAGAGATGATGCCTCTTAGTAACCACAGAAGTACTACAGAAAACACAATATACTGTATTAGATTTGATTAACGAAATGGAATCTATCTTCATAGAAATATTCTGAGTTACTGAATACCAATATCTGTATTCTATTTTATATTAGACAATACAAAGACAAAATGAAAAACTTGTAAGAAAAGGTTTCTACATAACAAAAGAAAGGGAATCATATGGAGTCATAAACAAAAAATCATCTATGTAATGCATAAGTATAGTATCTATGTTGAGGAAAAATATCAGTGAATGGATCTTGCAATTTACACACAATGTATTTAATTCTAACAGTTGATATGCAGAAAACAAGTGAAATGCAGAGGCCATGAGAAGGTGGTAGGAAGTGAATTTAAAAATTATGTTTAGGATAGAGACCTTTATTATCAGATAAATTAATATTTAAATTTATCTTTCGTTTTTAATCAATTGAAATCCCCAATTAACGAAAAATGTTTATTTCCAACCAACCATACCTTACTGATATCAACTGTAATAAACATCACATAAATTCAACACTCAGAACAAATATACAGAGATTATCATCCAACTGTTTATTAAATGACAGTCGAGCAGTAAGATATGAAGCTGCTTAAATCATGGAGGAAAGAAGTATCTTTCCTCCATTTTCCTCCATGCTTAAATAAAGCCAGTATAATAGAGTAATGAGACAACCTGTCAAACAACACATTGCTCCATACACTGTTGGGTCTACCTATGAAGTATTAGTAGGAATATTAATGTAAATTGTAAGCACGGTATTATTAACAGAATGTTTTCTAATAAATCAACATGCAAATAATGCACCATTTTCAGGCACTAAGGTGTAACTGCAAAATGGTATTATGTTCCATACTGTATTTTGTTCAATTTGTACCTTGTTTATATTAAATTGTGAACTTAACCAAATCATTATTTGTTATTAAATTTTATGTAGAAACACAAAGTTTATTACTATTGCAACACATTGCATCCAAATTTTAAAATTTACATTTCAGTTGGATACCGTTTTGTAGGAAAATCTTAAATTATCGAAACACTTTAGTGTTTTGAATCGGAATGATTTATGAACAAGTTGCCAATGTACAAATATATAGAAAAGATGCAAAGAAACTGCAATAATACAGGACCATAAATTTTCCTTTGCACTAACACATGGCAACGGTAGAAAACAAGTTATTCACGATCAAATGTACACAAAGAATACATCTTACGCCTGACTTGTCTCATTTAGCACTTGTCCCTACAATCAAGCTAATTATCATCAACAGCCCAACAAAAGCATTTCTTTATTACAGCAACAAATGAGTATTGGTCCAAGAAGATCAATTTATTCTTTGTCTCAAATTCTGGTGAATAGCATAGGTCAATCTACACTGTTGCTTTGTTGAATTAATCAATACAAAGGCTAACCTGACCCTCCCTCATCTATAATGCAAGCCTAGGTCTACCAGCTGCCAGTACTCAACATTAAGCACCAACTTAGCAAACATTTTTATCCAATGTATATCAATATTTGAATAACATCCAATTCAATGAAGATATTAATATTCATAGCTAGTAATATCTTTGTTTAAAGTGGTACTAATAATTTTAAGTATATTAATTTAGGAACGAATGAATATAATAGCCATGTACAGTAGCTATAATGGTAAACAGTGTATAAAATTCTGAAGATAATTAGTGTGAAATTAATAAATATTTAAATTTATTACTGTCACAAAAGAGCTAATGATAGAAATATATTAGGATGATACATGATTATGTAAGGAGCAGGGCCTTGCGGAAAAGCTTTCACATAGCTTGCGTAGAATTATTCAAGTCGCTTACATGAGATGAAATGAGAAGAGCAAGACAACATTTTTTTACAATCATCTGGATCTCATAACCAACGACGCATTACAATGAATATAATCAATTTTGAAAGAGAATTCTATAAATTGTATTTATGTTCTATGAGAAACCCATCTTATGCATACTGCCTCATTAAATTCCAAGATAAGCTTTTATGGGAAGAGATGAAACTAGTCTTCATACAACTCAATCTACTACTACAAATCCAAGTGTATCAACATTATTTCAGATAAAGACCAATAGTAATTAATTTGCATAAAAAATTCAGTTATAAATAATTGAATTGATAAATATTTTTTCTAAGTTTAAAGATCCAAATGTTTGCTTTGATATTTAGAAATTTATATAAAATGCTTCCAAAGTTCAAAAGACCTTTCTATCATTTGTATGCAATTCTTGAGCACGGATTAATTTATCCATTCATTCTGAACCTACGCACATCATTATTTCCACCTACACACCCACAAATTTGCTCATGTTTTTAAAAAATGTTTTAATATTCTTAGATTTGAAGAAAGGAAACACTGCTTCATAAATGTAATTAATTTTTGAACAAAGCTAGTGGTGTTACAATCTCATACTTATATATTATTAAAACATGCAAAAGGAGAATAAATCACAGGGATAATGCATTAATCAGTAGAGAACAGAATACATAATGTCACAAGATATGACGGTAAGCTTCCAACGAACACTCTCGCTTGCCTCTTTGCCTCAAGAAATACAAGAATCACCTACACTATATATGTCCTTGCTATATGCGCTTTAATATATCGGTAGCATTGCATATATAAACCCATTGTTCTCAATTATAAAATAACTAATGATTGATCAATAATTTTACACAGAAACATATACCAAATGTTTTAAGGTTACATGGTGATGTAACACTGACTGACAAATGACAATTAATGTATGTATTAGTTGATAGTGTAATACAGAATACGACTAATACAACATTTCTTTAAAAAAAATAATACAATTGTTCACATCTTGAATATTGTAAAGTAACATACCTTCGTTATCCCCTGCCATCATTTGCAACTTGGCATCGATATTAGACATGATCACGTCTCAAGGAGGTGAAGGATGATGTAAGGCGAGTCAAAAGCTGGAACAGACTGAAAAAAGAATAGAAGACTCATCTATATATGGATTAAAGAACAACCAATCAGGAAGCATGGAGCAGGTGGGCCATGCATAGGCTAATGAGCTGTATTAGCATATGAAAACCTGTGGGTTTGTACAATACTACATACGGACTTAGCTCACATCTTAATGGATAGGACCTCTTACTCAAAAGGGCCAATCAACCACCAATACACAACACAATCAATGTATACTTTCATTAGCATTGCTTCCTATCATTGATATTTATTAAGGATATCATATAATATCCACCTTCATAAAAATCCTCTCTAGGATCTTACTTTCATTAACACCTTCAACTGTAAATCGCAAGCTAATCATTTAATTTAAAATGAAATATTAAGATTAAAAAACATATCTAAATTGCTATTCAGTGTCTAGTATCTGTGAAGGTCCCTGAAAAAGCTAAAATTTTAATTTAATTATGTTTACAATATGCATGAAGCCAGTAAATAATTTCAAAGTTCAGTGTTATTATTTAATGTCTTGATAATGTATAAATTAACATCACTCAACTGGGAAATTAATTTTCAGCTACTAGAAGCCATCAACAATTAAACCAAATTAATAATGAGTGGCAAGTTAGCATTTGATTGATAAGTTTCAAACACAGTACATGCATTATTAAAATGAAAATGAAAGACTGAACAATCAGAAAATGGATGCCTGACTTGCTGAGGTAAATATAAATTATATTGGGTTTCTTGTGAGCAAATGATGACCATTAAAATTCTCAAATATCACTATCCTAGATCATGGCCCAAAAAACAAGGGGCAAATGAAAGGAGAAATGGAGTAAAACATTAAGTAAACAAAGGAGGAAAAAAACCCGAGATGCTACATATGCACATGAAATAAAAAACATATAAACCTGGAAACAAATGGAGAACAGATGATGTAAATTCCCATGGAATACTATTTTCATTTTTAAAATTCCCATAAGAACATATTCCATGTAAAACCGGTACATTTCCATATCAGTTTTTTTTTTGTGGACTATATTTATCAATCGATGGAAATACAACCGGATCTGTCTGCATAGCTTCAAAGACAATATACTTTTACTCAACAAAAATGTTCCTAATATTTATCTTTTAAAATTCTGTTTTGTATTTTATTATTTACAAAATTAGATTTGAATTTTTCCAAACATCTAAAATGTACATAATGTTTTACAAAATTGACATATGAAATATGAATACAGAATACTTAGCAGTCTCTTTATACAGTTCTCCACACATTCACTGTTTTTAATTCTATTTGTAATCCCTTCGGTAGACGCGTTTTTTGGATGTACAATATAAATCCATTATTTTAATTATTGTTAAGTTATAAATATTCGTAATCTTTTCTAATTTTCTTCACAAAAGTGTTTGATGACCCCAAACATTTGAAAACTAATGTAAAATATCATTATCAAAAGTCAATCATGAGCAGAATACTGTAGAGTACAAACATTGTGATAGCCATGCAACAGTATACAAAAACAAGAACTGCTTGCCTTCCTACAAGGCATGCAGTCCCTTAGGAGAATCATCATCATATTGTACTCTCAAATAGACATTACACACATGCATGAATGCATAAAGAACCTGAGAATTAAATTGAAAAGAGGCAAATTACTTACAATTAAGATTGCTAATGGCATGCACCTATTCATCTCTGTTGTAAGCAACAATCAGACTTACTACTATACCAGTATGCATGTTATTAACATAATGTTATCAAAATATGTTCCACATATTTCAATTTCTATTTTTGATTTTACATATTTGAAGCCAGATGAAGTTGAATATAAAAATTTTGTTGGATTTTAAATATATTTCAAATTTTCCTCCAAGTAACATTTCCAATTTTTCTTATGAAACATCAAACGACTACCGTACAAAAAGTAATGTACTGTCAAAGAGTAAGTAGTTTTGGTTCTAGAAATAAATGTCTACTTGAATAGCATTATCTACAAACACATAGAGGCAACTCCTATTTCCAATACAATTTTGGATAACATCGGAAAAATATATTTTAGTGACCAAAAACTTACATTAATTTTCAATAATCTTATGATAGCAAAGCAAGTGGTTGATTGCACAACTTTCCATTTGCCTTGCTTTTAAAAAGTAATAATAGATGAATGATCTTGGGCTTTGCTCTTCAAACCATCATCTACTACCAACAACTACTAACTTCATCCCATCAAATAAATTGATTATGTTTGTCCACCAGCAAGTCCAATTAAAACACACACACTGTAGATTGCCATCAGATTAAGTGACACATTAATTAACATGCTAAAGACAGTATGCAAAAATCTACTTAAATGTAACAGTATGATTGATCCCTTTTTAATATTTATTATTATACATATTTTTCTTCTTTATCAAGCATCATTTGAGAAGAATGCAACAGAATCAATTGATTCATGCAAGTTGGAATTCCAGGAGGAAAATTGTATTTTTCAAAGCAATGTTAACATACTGTGATGAGAAAGGAGCATGCTTTGACTATCACTGAAAAAAGAGCTAAATATCTTGAGTTTACAGTGTACTGTACTGTATGCATCTTAGGTGGATAATTTAGAGCCTGGTTTACTTGATGCAAACATTGTTTAAGGTGGTGGCTCTATAAATCACATGTGACTATGATTTTCCTCCACTTCCTCATCATGAGATCTCCATGACAACATCTTTATCAGTCTAAATTAAATCGCGTCATTATAATATTAAAAACCATGTTGCCTGAGTAATGTGAGCACACAACTACTCTCCATTATTATAGACAACGCTTAAATATCACACTCAAATTATGCAAATGAGGATTATACATGGAAACCTAGAGGATGTTCCTGTTGAAAGTGATAATGGATATGATTACACATCATATTCAATGTTATACTATATACACTTTCATAGATACACAACACATCCTTATAAAAATTACCTGCATTATTGATAATCATAATAATCCCATTTAAATAATTTTTATTAAAACCTTAATAGTTTTAAAAAATATCTTAAAGTAATAAACAATTACCAGTATTTGAAGCCAAACTAGGTTTCAATAATTTGTACAGATATCACCAATATTAAATATAGCCTCCCAGCGGGAGCATGTGCCTATGCCCTATACTGCCTGACTTTATTATGTTTACTAATACAGTATCCACATGGGATTCAGTTATCAGGAAATGTGTGGTGTTGTATTTTTTTTATGACTTTTGTACAGTAACAAGGTACTTAAGATGACACATGACCTATCATGCACCTCCACCGGATTTACCCTTTCAGCCATCTTTAACTGTCAGACGACAACATAGTGTCTTTGCCCCCGAGGGGGCATAGACACAAAAATTCAACTACATTATACATACACTATCACCATACATACACATAATAACTTGAGTTCCTATTACATATGAAGTATGAAAGTGCAATCTATGTTAGGTTTGCACATTAAGGAATCATAAAGTGCATGGATATCTGATGTGGCATGCCTTCTGTTAAACATTTCTTCTCGATTTGAATACTCATTCAAAATTGCAGAACAAGCAATGCATTTGTAATGTTTACACATTCTTTGATTATGATTAAAACAAGGAATAAACTTGACCATAATAAGTTTTTAATATTAAGTCTATCAATAAAAGGCAAAAAAATTAACATAATTGTGGCAGGGACAGACGGAATCAGTTGTTTGTCGAAAAATATCGATTTTGAGATAATGTCAAAATATTGAATAGCAAAGTCTGAGCTTCATAATAGTGAAAAAATTATTACAATCCAACTTTTAGTTACGAAGTTATGTAATTTTAAAAAGTATGTATGTGTGGAAGCTACTGGGAGAAGTTATTGAGAAATCAGCATGTAAAGTTTAGCGACCGCTGATGCGCGCGACAGCCTACATTTTCGCGAATGGGCTAAATAAATACCCTACCAACGAGGAGTTATAATTGAGCCATGGTAATGAAATTTCGTACAAACATTGAACATAAAATTCTTCTAATATGATGCAAAATTTTAGTTGAATTGGACCTTGTCTTCACTAGTTAAATGTAGTCTAAATTTTGACAAAAATTTGTTAGATTTAGCGTCCTTTTACCGTCCTTTCTAATAAAATGAGGAACTTCTGTAATCGTATTCTGTTGCTTACAAGAGAGATTAAAAGTGCTTTATTTTATGTCTGATAAATTCTCTATTAGTATTGCACTATTTTGAAAAAAAATTGCAGTCTTTTCTTATAAAATAAATTATACCACACCAAGCGTAGTTGGCTTAAAGAGCCTAGGCCTAGGATAGCTAGGAATAGTAGGCACTTCCCTAATAGCGAGTCACATAGGCTAGTTTCTACAGGCTGAAACAACACCTAATGCTCCTCTTCATCGTTTAAAACATGGAAGTCAGTATCAAATAAATCTTCAGGCTTTTCGTTTCCAACTATTTCGTCACATTTTCCGCAACTTTCAACACCATACTTTCTAGGTTTGTTTACGCCATGCTGGCTTGTGAGCATGCGCAGTTTGGATTTTTAAAGCGTCCTATCACATTGACTAATCACAGAGCAGAATACAGCGCCATCGTTAAGGGCCTTTCAGGTTTGTTTACATCTTAAAAACGCATTGTAATTGGCTATAATAAGGAGGTAGTGCCTCATTTGTCCAATAAAATAGGGGTTTATAAAATAAGCTTCAAAATGATAGTAAACATGCGCCACTTTCTTTTACATATGGCGACCTACACGGCATTGAAAAAGCTGAGTCTTAAGGCGAAAAAAGGACCAAGTTTTGATGATTCGTAATAAAGACGGCCTCACAAAATGTCATTTTTTGGCTGATTTTAGGTTAAATGTGGGGAAATAACAAAATAGACTGATTCTTTATTACATAAAGGTTGGTTTTATTCAATAAAATGGATATCAATTTTTTTTTCACTTTCATGGTGTTGTTGTATTGATAGGCCTGTATCTCCATTCGGGGTTT